CCCTGGCTTATAGGTTGACAGGTAGTGAATAGGAGAAAAAATAGACCTTTGTGTTCAGACAGAATGAAGAATGGGAGTTTGGGCTGAAAAATCCTGTACCTCTACATTTCAAGGCTGCTTAATTTGGGGTCCGCGTACCCCTGGCAGACCTAGCTGGCTGAATAAAGAGCGTGTTTCCTATAACTCACTGATTTCTGGTGGTCCGTGTGTCTTTCGGGGGCTGGCGGCTACAACAAAATAAGCTGTAAAACTGCCATTCTCCAGAGCATTTTCTTAATCTATTGAGATTTTGCTTCCCGGTAATTGTCAGTTTGGCTCAAATAAGCTCACTAAAACTCTCTACAGGTTTGGACATTTCTTATGTCAACAACTCAGAAGGATTTGAATATTGTTCAACTTATTGTCCTATTCCCAACACTTAGTACAGTGTGCCTGGTGTTGTAGACACTCAATAAATGTCTAATAAATGAATGAATGAACGGCCAATGATTAGTTGTTAAATGAATGCACGTGGAAATCAGGATCCTACTTTTCAAAACATCAGAATAAAACTTAAACAATTCCTCAATCCATAAACAATCCATCTTCCAGGATGCATTAAAGAAGGTTCAATTCATACCTATGAAAGCAGATGAAATGTTCCAAGGAGGGGCTGTAATATTAAAATTGGCCCAACTGGGTCTGAGCAGTCATGTTTAGCTTCAAGATCCATGCTTTGAGAAAGATTTTGACTGAGATGTAGATACTTACAACTTATTCCCAGAAATCTGGAATGCCTAAACATTCATCCAAGTTTGTTTCTTCGACAGGCTATTCAGTCATCAGAACTTGGTTCTTTTTGATCCTTCCTCATAACAACTTTGTTATGGAATGTGTACCATTCCTCATCTGGTGACTGTCCTGTTAATATACAGCATTAAATAAATAACCAGACCACTGGTTTGAAAAGCAAACTAAAAAGAATTTAAAGACTTAGGAAGCCATCTTAATTCAAATAGATGTTAAGCCGTATTTTTGCTCTAGGACAAAAAGGTGAGGTAAAACATCACTGTGCAGGTGAGGGTGTGACAGTACCTTTATAACCAGAAGTTTTAACAGCTTTGATTAGTAGGTATCAGTGTGATCTGAGTAGATCTGAGATCCCTGAGGGTCTCTGTGACCCTTTCAAGGGGTCTGGGAGACAGAAGTATTTTCATGACACTAAAACATTATTTGCCTTTTTCACACTCATTTTCTCACAAGTCTATAGTAGAGTTTCTAGAGGCCACATGATATAAGATATCACAAGATACTGAATGCAGGAGTAGATATGACAATCTAGCTGTTGTGACAGCCTGCTGAAATGTGAAAAGGTTAAAGGATAATTAAAACCTGAAACTGGATGAAGGAAGTCTATACCTTAGGCCTAGTTTCTGGAACCCCTAACCGCATTCTGTTAATCATGAAACTTGTAACAATGAGCTCATACGCTAACTGACAATTTTAGCCTGTGTAACCCTGCTTGCTTGCATGGCATGAAAAATAATTAATTGTATATAAGCTGAAAATTACTGTTTGGCCATCACCCATGGGAACACTGGCTATTGCCCATGGGAACATAGGCAATCACCCATAGGAACATAACATTCTAACAACAAGCTTTCTGCTTCTGTACTCCCCGCTTGCACACCTGACCAGTGGGTTGACAGGTAGTGAATAGGAGAGAAATAGACCTTTGTTTAAGATAGAATGAAGAATGGGATTTAGGGCTTAAAAACCTTGTATCTTGGCATTTCGGGGCTGCTCCTTTGTACAGGACAGCTGCCGGCTAATAAACAGCCTTTGAGAGCATACTTGGTTTGGTCTATTCTATACAGGCCACAACACTGTCTTCTATTAAGCCAAATAGTAAAAAGATTTGCAGAAATGTAAAAACAATGCTACTCTTCTAAACTTTTGTTTTGGAAGATAGTTCTTTTCCATTGAAAAATATTATCTATGTTAACATGTGACCCTCCTTCCCCAGAAATGACAATTCTCTAGGAATGGAGCTTTTGGGGGAGCTCTAAGCCCATTTTTCTCCATCCTGCTAGGCCGCTGGTTTTCACTGGTAAATGGAGCTGGGAGAGAGGGATAGGAAAAAGGCACATTAAAATTCCACAAATCTTGCTCTTATTGAGATTCAGCCATTTTTCTTGAATAAATGTCCCTTGGATTATTACAAGCATTTGACTAATTTTCAGAGTTTTCAAAAAGTTGATTTGGACCCCTTTTTTTTTTTTGCCAGTGTTCTCATTGTTTTTATGGAGAAATGGATTTTTGGAGTTCCCTACTCTGTTATTCTGAAAGTACTCTCCATTCACATCCCAGTTGAGCCTCCAAAAAGAATGTTCTCTCCTCTTTCACTACTTTAAAGATGTTGCCCTACTATCTTCTTGTTTGCATTGTTTCCAATGACAAATCTGATGTTGTTCTCTTTTTCTTCTTTATGTAACATATCTTTTTTCTCTGGCTTCTTTTAAGATTTTATCCGTATCATTGGTTTGGAGCAATTTTATTACAATGTGCCTTTATGTAGTATTTTTCATGTTTCCTGTGCTGGAGTTCATTGAATTTCTTGGATCTATGGGTTTATATTTTTCATTAATTTCAGAAAGTTTTATTTCTTCAAATATGTTTTCTGTCCCCCTCCTCTCATTTGGGGATTATATTTCCCTGCATATGAGGCCACTTGAAATTATCCCACAGCTCATAATCGTATTTTTTTAGTATGCTTACAGAGTTGTGCAACTATCACCACTATCAATTTTAGAACATTTTCATCACCCCCAAAAAGAAACCCCATACCTCTTATCAGTCATTTCTCTTTTCTCTCCAATCACCTCACCCCACCCCCCAGCCCTAGGCAATCACTAATCTACTTTCTGTCTCTATGGACTTGCCTATTCTGGACATCTCTTATAAATGGAATAATACAATATGCAGGTCATCCTTTGTGACTGGCTTCTTGCACTTAGCATACTATTTTCAATGTTCTTCCATGTTGTAGTATGTACTTCTTAATTCTTGTTATGCCTGGTCACCTTTGTTTGGATAACAGACATTGTAAATATTACCTTTTTAGGTGCTGGGTTTTCTTCTTCTTCTTCTTCTTCTTCTTCTTCTTTCTTCTTCTTCTTCTTATTATTATTATTATTATTATTATTATTGTTATTATTATTGTTATTATTATTGTTATTATTATTATTCCTATAAACCTTCCTGACCTTTATACTGAGATACTTGGAAACAGTTTTATATTTCAGTGTCTTCCTTTTATGATTTAAGTGGGTCTGGAGCAGTACTAAGTCTAGGGCTAATTATTCCATTGCCATAGCATGGAAACTCTCCAAGGGGTATGCTGGGGCAACTGTAGGTCTCATCTTGTTTCTCATTTCTCAGGGGTCACTGTCTTTCATTGCCTGATGTCTATGTCTTGAAAACCATTGTTTCATGTATTTTGTCCGGGTTTTCTTTTTTGGGGGGGAGAGGGAGTTGTTTCATGTGAGAGTGCAAATTTGGTCCCCATTACTCCATCTTGACTGACAGTGCATAACAGAGGTTGTATTTAAGACACCTTCTGACAGTGAGACCAAGAGAATTTGCCAATGACAACAGACAAGAATCAAGAATGATATATCTGCTCTTCAGTCTGAGTAACAGACTGACTGTCGCGGTGCCATTGGTTGAAATGAGAGAGACAGGAGGGTGTTTGAGCCAGGGAAATTCGAGACATCTATTTGGATGGGTTAAGCTTGAGATGCCTCATGAGACATCCACATGAACATGTCAAACAGGCCATAGCATATATGAGACTGGTGTTATATATCAGAAGAGGTCTAGGATAGAAGCCTAAATTAGTGAGTCTTCCAAATATTTGCAATAATTAAGGCTATGAGACAAGATGAAGTCACCTAGGGATACAATATTGTCTATAAAAGTAAGGGAGCCAGAATCATATCCAAGGATACTCCAATATTTGGAAATTGGATAAAGGTGGAGGATTAGCTAGAGATAAAGGAGAAAACCAAGAGGGTGAAAACAATAAACTGCGGATGTGCTGGGCTGTCACGGGAGAGGGTAGAGAAGTGACTGCTGCTTTGGCAAACTATTGGTGATCTGGTTAAGAGCAGTCTCAGAGACATGGGAGTGACAGAAGCCAAACTGAATTAAGCTAAATATAATCTGGTACATGAGAAAGTAGAGCCTGAAGCAAGCCAAAAGATTGGCTTTGCTTAGGAGCATAGCAATGGAGTCACAGCGTGGATGTTTACAACACAGTACACAAAACAACCTAGATAGATGGCCATCAGTAAGGGAACAGCTGAACAATGCTACATTTATTCCACTGAATACTGTGAAGCAGTTAAAAAGGATGAATTTAACAGATGTCCACTATATATTAATTTTTTAAACAATACTTGGGGAAAAAGTAAAGGATGGGTGGATTATACCAATGTCAATATCCTGAATGTAATACTTTACTAGTTTTACATCTTACCTTTGGAGGAAATCGTTAAAGTACATGGGATTTCTCTGTATTAGTTTTCAAAACTACATGTGAATACACAATTATCTCAAAACTTAAATGTCGAAAAACTATTTCCAGTATGTACATAATGGGCGTCTTTTTTTTTCCCCCTAAACATTTATACTTCCAGCAATCAAAACACCATGTTCGTTTTGTAAATAAAACGAAGAGCCGGGCGGGAGAATACCACCCCTGGTTTCCCCAGGCCAAGGGTGGATAGTCTCAGATTTCAAGGTTTCTAGGTCCGCCCCCTCCAGGAGAGTTCTCAGTCGCCTCTCTAGGAGTTTGGGAAGACTATGTATTGTTAATAGGGCGCGGCCACTCTAGCCACCTCAGAGTTCCAAGTCTCGTTAGCCCAGAAGGTTAACGCCTTTAGTTCTCCAAGCAAGACCGAGGTGGGAAATCCTTGGCCCTTTTCTGCTCGGCGAGGGGAGGGTTCCCTCACCCACTCCTTGGTTCCCTCAGACACTCATGGACTTGCGAAGCCTCCTCCGCTCCCCGCACCCTCCTAGGAGGATGCCGCTTTCACTCGCGGTGCTCCAAAGACCTAAAACCTAAACAAAGAGGGCTGTGGCCTCCTCGTCTGACCAGGATGAGTCATTTCCGGTGACAAATTTCCTCCCCCGGAAGTGAGACCTGATGTAAACACCGGAGCTGGGTGTCAAGGCCCAGGAGGTCAGAAAGCCGGGCCGCGGGCGGCACCGAGACCTGGGCCTGGGATTGGGGAGGCGCGGCAGTCAGGTCAGTATTGGTGGCGGGGAGCTGGGGCTTGACCCCAGAATTGGTTAGGGTTCGGCGACAGGCTGGGGGGGCCTTTTAAGCAGGGGTCTTGGTGGATGGGGGAATCTAGGACAGGGATCTTGAGTGAGTGCTGGTGTTAGAAGGTGCTGTCTTGGACATGAGAAATGCTGTGAGGGGGTGCTTTGTGTGAGGCATCCCTGGGCAGGGTTCTTGGGTGGCGCGGGTCTTTGGAATGACAGTTCAAAAAAAGGGATCTTGGAAGGTGGGGCTGTCTAAAGAATGGGTATGTGGGGAGTGATGCGGTCCAGTGGAAGTGGTACAGCGGGGAAAATAGGAGACTTGGGCTCTTGGAGGATAGGGAGGGGTACACCTGGGCAAAGGTCTTGGAGAGATTGGAGTTTGAAGGGAGTATGGGGGCCCTAGGACAGAAATCTTAAGGGGGTCCGGGGCAAGAGTCTAAGGGGTCGAGTTGTCCTAGGTAGGGGTCTTGGGAGGTGTGTGTCCTGGGCAAGGGTCTTAAGGGGGTAAGGGTGCCCTGGGGCAGGCTCTTGAGGGAGGGGATAGGAGGTCCGGAGGAGGAATTTGTCGACATAAGAAACGTCCATCCTGTTGAGAATTTTTATAAGAGTTTATTTGAGCCAAAACTCATGACAGTTACCGGAAAGCAAGATTTCAAATGCTTTGGAAAAGAGCAGTTTGCAGTTTCTTTTATGCATTTGAGTTTAAGGGGAGAATGTAAGGAAGATTACATGAAGCTGGGAGAAAGCAAGGTGGGGAACGGTTTAGGTTTACAGGATAATTAAGATTATGTGCCTCACACTTTAGAAGGAGAGATCTGAAAGAGAGCATTGCAAAGGTGTGTTAACCAAGATGCACAAAAACAATGGACAGGACTTGCTTAAGGCACTGATAAGCTTTTGACTAAAGAAGTTACATGCCTGTGATGTGACTACCCGCCATGACCTGCCCAGTTAGGAATTTATGACAGGTCGCTCTGTGAAGTTACTTTCTGTAGAACCCCTTTTTCACCCACAAATCTTAGGTGGACAGGATTTCTGGGGGGTAGGTCCAAGCCAGCCCATGTTGGAGTCAGTCACAGCAGAGCACATGGAAGGGGATGTCCCAGGGCTGGGGGATTTGGAGTGATAGGCAATTCCAAAGTAGGGTGTTTAGGGTATAAGGTGATCTGGGGAAACATCCATCCCTGATTGGGCAGAAGTTAGCATGCCATAAGATGAGATCATCCCGAGGTAGGTATGGGACCTTGAAGGGGTTTGGGGAAGCCTGTGAGGAGGAATGGTGTGAGCTTTCTGGGGTGGTGGAATAGAATAGGTTGGGGGAAGGGGTGGTCAGAGAGCATGAGGAGAGGAGTTCCTGATGGTAGCCAGTCTCAGGGCCAGGTCAGGGAGGTGCAGGAAGAGGTGGGTGTCATAGCCCTCTTTCCACATTTGTTAACAGGTGGAATTAGGTGCTAGCTCCAGGTGTGAAGATGAGAAGTGGGTAGGAGGTGGTTCCGGCCATATTGGGCATTAGGGCCAAGATTGCCTAGGGGTGGAGAGGAGATATCACTGGGGCATCTCCTACCTTATTACTTCCAGACAAACAGTGATGGCTTGGGAGTAAGGAGGAGGTCGGGAGTCCAGGTCAGGGTAGGCTTGGAGCTGGTGTTAGCCAAATGTGACAAGATAGGGGGGTTCCTGGCCATGCTCTTTGGGGTCTTGAACTTAGAGTGGAGTC